GCATTCCGCTGTCACCAGTGTAGTGTCCCGAGAGTTAGGCTGAATATATGTATCCCGAAGATGACAAAGCAAATGGACCTGAGCATGACCCGAAGGCCAGACCAAGAGTACAAGGACCAGACAAATGCTAAATTAACCGCAAAACGTCAGGTAGTCACATAAACAAAGCATTACACATGCATTCTCTTTTATTATAATTAGATAACTTTTGCCAGTGAAAGGTCCGGGTACAAATTCATGAAACCATCTAGGTCTCCATGAGTCGCTCCAATTGCTCCGATAGGAGGGAACAGAATCGTAAACCGCAGGCCATTACATGTGTAAAAATGGTTCTTTACATAAGGCAGGAAATCGGACTGATGATAGGTGGAAGCGGTGTAGGCGCACAAATAGAAGGAAATTTTAATAGAAACAAACAAGTTTTGCAAATTTCAGGCAGTCGGTTTTCGACTTCAATGCAGCAGCCAAACCCCAAGTCTCGATGGAAACAACACTGATGTCTCCTTTGCCAAGAAGTGTGGTAGTCCTAAATGATTTCTTACAAATCTCAATATGTGTACGTGCTGCTGGGCTGTTAACAAAATGACATCTTATAAATAAAAATTCCGACTTTTGTTGAGATAGATGAGCATTTTTGGAAATGCTTTCCCATTCCAAGGGGCGATATTTACCGATACTTGTTAAAAAAACAGACACCTGGTATTCATGGAGCATCGGGGCAATAAATACGTAGCTTTCAAGATTGGGGGAAAATGCAGTAAGGCTATCGAAAATATAATAAAGGAATTTCTGCTCTATGGTTCATTATTAATCGATACAACTGGTCTATAATGAAGTACGTCTCCAGTCGATTCGATCGATAGGATTCGCAAAAGCTTAAATTAAAAAGAAATACAAAATCACGACAAAGACGTGCAGCGTCAGAGCGACGAACAAGGAAAGATAATCCACTTGTTGGAACGAAAATGACAGCTTTTGAAGGCGAATGTAAGGTTTTGCTAATACAACTGTCTCCATAACAGAGGACTAGGTTGGTATTTACCATGCTCTGTTGCGTATGGGTCATACTTGGGACGAAGCCAAAGGCCATCGTTCATTCCCTTCTCAGTTTAAGTATTCCTATATTCTCGTTGTTCCTTTTACCATCATCTGCGACAAAATTTTACAGTGTGAATGAGGTGCATCTTGTACCGCTTTGTTTATGCGATCACCTGGGGTTTGACTGTCACGTTGCACTGATAGGGAATCTAATTTCGTCACCATTAGAATGGCTGCAGACGATATCCGCGCTTACCTTCGACTTCATGACCATGTTCCACAGTCACGCTATCAACACCTGAAGCAAAACCGTTGTCAACCACGTGGGAAGGATTCGTCCTGGAGTTCCCCTCACCGCATTTGCTTGTGGACGTCAGCGATGGTACCACGCCAAACACCCTTCCAGGCAAGACTATGTTCAAGCCCGTTCGCCCTGTCGACGGGTGCATTTGACCCTGAGTTGTGTTTTTATGCCAAGCATAATTCTAGGTCCATCTGAAGCTATTGCGAGTGTGTAGCACAATACCGCAGTGTTATGGGAGCCGATGATCAGCGTGGCTGGCTAGTGAGTGCTATTTGGAGGCACAGAATATGTTGAAGTAACTGGTTGATTGAGAGGTGTGATGGCCCAAAATCCAGATCAAGATTTTTAAGTTTACTGCGTTCTAAGCGTATGGCCTATAAGTCTTAAACCGATAAATCATGTTTTTGCATAAATACGAGCAAGAACAAGAACGTATTTGCATTTATATTATTCATTCGTCCTTATTTGTTTTATTTAAATTAATCACAACGACCTAAGCTATGCACTTGTAATTTGCCTATAGTACGGGTCCAATTTTGAATGCGCTGACAATACGATGGATAGCATACACGATACAAGAACAAAGGAAGGCGTTTGGTCACCGGACATAGAGGAAAGTTTTTTTGAAGCACTTACTGTCTATCCACCTTGTGGACGCCGAAAGATTATACTCTCCGAGGAGCACAAAATGTTTGGTACTATTTCAGTAACATTAGAAATATCTTTGCATCAGCTCTGCTTTACGTTCTCATGTTTTGCGTGCGTTAAAAAAGCATTTCTAACACACTAGCTTGTCATTGTTTTTTTAAACGCATAATAAAATAAATTTTTGGTCTGCACATTTTATAATTATGACACACACTTTATGCTGTTAGCAAGTCTTTTCTGGATACAGTAATTAATTGCATTGATGCGCAATATATCAATTCTAGCAATCAAATGCAAACTTTTAATGTAAGTTGAGGGTTGACTTGGTTTTGATGAAGATCAACAACCGTACAATTGTAATGGTACTTTAAACGCTCTGATAGATTAACGACTCAATTTTTACCTAGTAGACTCTTAAACAGAGAATAGCGAAAGCTGGCATTTAATGTCAGCTTTCAAGTATCAGATGAATTTATAAAGTTTGGTGTCTGTGAAATATAATCTTTTGGTGGCAAACATTTGCAGATGGTGTGTTAAATTGGTGCATGTTAGGCTATCGACTCTCCATGTTTGAAGATTATGCAGCTCTAACGAATGGGCAAACAATGACTTTGTTTTGCACAACAGTTAAATACATAATATCAATATTGCAGCCTATAACTAGCTAAGAGAAACTTTGTTTATTTACCATGGAATATTATACTCACTGAAGTGATTTGCTTAAGAGTTAGACACAATATCGGAGGGCATTCGGTGAGCGTTTGATCTTCGTTTATGCTAATCATTCGCTCAAAATCCCGGGTAATTATGCTCATGCAAAGAATACTGCTATACAAAGGAATGACTTTGCTTTGCTTTTGGACATTCTGTAATCAAGATTACATGAACGTAGTGCTTTTAAAAACAGTTTTGAAGCAAACCAACAAAATCAGTTAACCTCATCCTCTGAAGTTGGACTTGCTATGCCCTTCAATCTAGATCATTTAGCTGCATATAAATGCGCCACCACCTTTTAAGAGCTTCACTTTTACTTACACTTAGTCGGTTTTGAGCGATTCTCCCTTTTCCCTACTTTGAACCCATAAATTACCATTATACTCTGCATGCGTTCTCACACTCGTTTTTGGCCGGCCCTCTCATTACTAGTTCAGTACCCACTCGTGCTAAAGGCTGTTATAGTAGCCAAATTTTTGTTCACCTAATACGACTTTGCTGCACAAAATGGGTGGGAAACCTTGCATGGTTGGGCATGCCTTATTGGGCAGAATTTCTGTAAAACATACAGTAACATTCTGTTCCTTTGGGAAATCATAAAGCCATATTTAATTATAAGGAACCAACTCTTACCTCTGGGGGGCTATAAAGAAAAAGTGGACGCTGACTTGAGAAAAGTAACATGAAAGGAATTTTATTAAAAGACTTTGAACTCAGGAGACCTTACATTTCTTACACTCCTAGCAGAAGTATTTGACATGGGAAGAAATGGGAAAAAATTATAAGATACTTTTTTTGTTGGTCAGATGTTTGTTGCGTAAAGAATGCGACTGTAAAACCACAAAGTTAGCTTCTTTAATTTGCACTAACTGCTCTAAATCTTTCTTTATGAATGTATTCTATCGGCATGAAATTATGTGGAACAAAAGTCAAAACATTCCCCTCCTCTTGTAGATTTTGAAGCTGCCATCTAGCATGAAATCTTGCCTGTTGCTAAAGCTTTTGGTAGCACCGAAATGCCAAACCAAACTAAAAACATTCAACTAAAAAGTTTCAACAATGGGAAAGTATATAAAATTTACCCAGATAGGAGAACACACTCTGAACCACAACGCACATGCCGGAAATCATTTTCTAGGCTTCTCTGTGATTGAGTGGCTGACTTACCTACCACAATGGTATGGTGTCGTTGATGACTCAAAAACACGCTATTTTAAAAGAAGATTGTTCATTGAAAAGTGGCCATATTTCTCCCTTATGTTAACCATGGACTCCTCCTAAGTTATTCCTGACTCTTAAATATCGGGGACGGTATTTGTGAATCAAGTGAATGAAGGAAATAATTTCCAATCAGTCAGAAGTCCAATTTCTGCAAATAATGAAGTTATCGTTTCCACATATTCTTCCCAAAAGAGCTGTTGAAATACTGTGAATCGGACAAAACATGGGTTCATTTAAATTAATTGATGAGTCGGAAGAGCATCTGTCAAAAAGGGCATGTCAATTAGAGGAGAAGAAAGACTGAGCAATAAAGATTAAACTTTGAAGAAATTTCATACCAAATCGAACAGTACACATTTAGCGGCTTTAATGATAATGGTTAAATAGCTTTAAATAGATCTAAGCTGCTGTTTGAGCAAATGAGCTGCGATATAAACCAACTAAATAAAAGAGATCCTTTCGTTGTTTCAAGGTCGGAACGAGTTGATTGCTCGGTATATAAAACTGCGAACCGGAAAGACGAGAACGCGCAAACAGGTCTCAAGCCATATCCAAGTTCTTGCACGAAGAAGTGGAAGAACCGCGGCACCAATGCGAAACATTCAAACATCTTATCTTCCTTCACTGGGAAGGGTGCATTTCAGTAACGGAGTAACAAACGGTGAGAAGAGGTAATGTGGTGAAATTTTTATTTTAGATGCGGTGGAAATGCTTCCCTACGTACGTCTTCTCTTTTTTCAAGTCAAATTCATGGCTCCTGAAGCTGTGGTAAGACCTGATACTGGCAAGGATGTTGGAAAAGGACTTTTACTTTATACTAAGAAGTAGTATTTAATCGAAATTTCAAAGTTGCGATTTGCAACTGCATCTATACCTCGCGTATCCGATTGTACGTCGTGAATATCAACCACAATGAGAATATCATCTTCTTCACAAAGTTTTATTTAGAATTTGAGCAATCTTTGTTAATATTCCACAGATTGTGGCGGTTTACGCTGTGGTTGTACATGATGGGGAATCATATAAAACATCGTCCAGCTAGAATGCTAACTTTGGCTATGGAGACAAAACTGATCCACTGTTTAGCGAAATGGAGATAGGCAGCCATTTTGGATAGCTTCGCTTTGTTGTTATTAAATGTCAGATAAATGTGGCTTCGTTTGCCATCGAGCAATACTACTGAACAGCGATAAACTGAGTGCCAAAATTACGAATTTGGGGCCATTCACTTGCCTCACTCTGTTACAATCTCAAAAACTTCAGATGAATCAAGAAATCATGCCATGAAGCCAGCAATGGTATGAATCTACGCATTTTTGTCTCAATCGTTAGTCGATTGTTTAAGAAGTTCGATTGCAGCAGGCCTCAATGACGGGGTCAAAGTGCGTGTCCGCTCGAAGTTCACTTCCGACACTACCGTTGGCATGAAATTTCGAGAAAATAAGAAGTTCGGATTCAGTGTTTATGCACTAGAAACGGAATGGAACCATAAAATTCGTACAATAAATTTGTATAAGATTTTCCATTTGAATGCTCCGCTTACTGTCACAATCAAAACATGTTAATTTTAAGGAAATTTAATTGACCAAAAATGCTCTACTCAGGGAGACATTAATGTCGCTGACACAGAATTGGGTAAGTTTTGTAATGGTTGCGATACAAGAGTGCGAATATGACACATTTTGAACGTACTCATGCCCTAGTTGATTTTTTAGGTAAGTGCTAATTTCAAAATTTTTTCTTGTTTTGAGATAACGGTGTTTCTGAAGGCTAGTACACTGTGATACAATGTTTCCAGATGCATCTCGGACGTTCACTATGTCTTTGCTAAAGCCCCAGATCATTGTTTAACGGCTTGTTTAAGGCTCAACAGGTCGTGCTGGACCTGGTGCCTCAGTTGCATGACGCCGTCGCACTGCTGCCTCCACACCTCGGCGTACTGAGTCGGCCGTGTGAACTACAGGGATCGGAGGATCGCATAGGAGTGCGAGAGCTGAAAGTAAAGCAGCCACTGTTACTTCCTTCATGGAAGGGGAAATAGTGTAGCATGAATGATAAGTTTATTCCGGTTTCACTGATTTGCGATTTAGAAAGTAATACAAAATTTGCTTAATACTTCACTCATGACATCCCTTGAAGTTAGTGTTATTGTTAGGAAAGGCCAGCAAACCGTCCTTTATTAAGCATGATTTTAAGATCTATTACATGTGCAATTGATTACAAGTTGATGCTGTTGTAAGTTTCTACTGATTGTTCGATCCACGCACGTTAAAATTTATTGTTACGAAATGCCTTTTGGAAGAACGGGTGGCTATCTGATTTCCAACAAACGGAACGGAATTTGCGAACAAAAATTGATTTAGTGTCTATGCGGAAGACAGTTTCTAAACCGTTGTGGCAAGCTAATTAAGGGCGAGATCATGATGATGTCAATGAACGGCATGTTGAAAGCACACCTTTATTCACTGCTTATTGTTTGGCAGTAAACCGCTCTGCTTTCGAAGACTGCATAGAGTGCACCAAATAATGCCGAAATGCATTTCCACATACGATGATGATGAAGAGAGTAATATGCCTGCATCTTTTGGCAAACTGAAGTAAACTTACTGAAACGATTCAGAAAAGGCGGAAAGGAATGCTCTGCACACCTCTGTACTCCTAACTGAAGCATGCACACCTTGATGTCGTTTGATCCACCACACAAACGGAAATCGCAGAATTCCCACCTGTACAATGTACTGAAGGGCGAATCGCCGAACAACTCAGCAGACAAATAAAACAAATCCTTTATTACCTCAAAAGTTTTAAAGGCACTGTGATGGCATGCATTCTTTTTTAGTTCAACCAATTTTTCAACAGAGAAGGTCTCTTTCTTGGGCATGCAAAGTGAGTGACTATCTAAGTAGCGTACCCACGCAATTGATCAAACGTTTTCGAAACTTTTTTACTTTTTATACAAAAAAGGTTCGAGGTGTCTCCACGTAGCAACCATGTTGAATTTCAGCTGGCAACACAAATATACGCGTATGGGGAAAGGGTGCCAACAGCCCTAACGGTAAACAACTTTTGAAACGACCAAATTGAAAGCAGTATTTGGTCCGTCTTATTTGTTTGACTGTTGACGCTGAAGTGGGTCGAGACGCCTTTGAATTTGGAGAAGCTGGATTTACAATTCGCTTCTCATTGTAAAATGACTAACAGATTCAGCTCGAGTGGCCAGTTAAAACAAAATTCAACAAGCAAATACTTGGTTTTAGATAACTCTTTTTAACACCAAGTGAAGGAGGCGATCATTTGATTATTCCATGTTGTCTGCTACTAGCATCACCTATGCCGTGGAATTCTGTCCACGAAGCAGAATAGCTGGTGATCTATTTAGACAGGTATGAAAATTTGGTAGTTAATGAATGCAAATATCCAACAAATGACGACTGGAAGGAGAGTTAACTACAGTTTCTGGTTTTTTTTTCGCACGAATTTTGGTGGGTATGAAGATGCAATATGTTGTTTTTTTTTATTTTTTTATGACTGCAGCCTGAAACTGCCAAAATGAATGCAAATGGAAAATTGGTTGAATTTAAAAATGTACAAGTCAGTCGGTTTTTGGCCAAACTTCTGCTGCGTGTGAACGCCGCGCTTTCGCAGAGGGAGAAGCGCCAAGCGTTCGAAAATGTGCTGCTTCGGCAAGTAAGTGCATGACGTGGGGGCTCCTTTGCATTCCCTTGACACGGTTGCTGCCAGTTCTCGACCAAACGTATTAGCTCCCTCATCAAGGTCGGCAATCAGCTTTGTCCTTAATTTTGCGAAACGGCTACAGGTACGAAATAAAGGCACTTGAACCGTAAATACTCGGTCCCAAATCAAAGGAAACGCTCGTCATTACTGCCAGTTGCTAATACTCATTAGCGATGGAAGTAAAGCATTTTTTCGGCTTAAGTGTTCGAGTTTTAATGAAACAAACATAGTCGACTTTAGTACACTGAAGTTGAAAGATTTCAAAAGTTTTTAAGAATGAAATTCCAATAGCTTGAAATATTATGACTTATAGTTTATAGCAATGAGGATTCAACAGACGTCGTTGGTGGGTCTGTTGAAAATTCGTATCCCTTTTTCGCTGCTTTATACGACTGAAAAGGGTAAAAGAGATAATGAAAACTTGGGCACTCAGCAATTATTTGTGTGCATGAAATTCCTGCCTTTGAATGGTTGCTTTGCGCTACAACAAAATTCCTTCTGTTGAAGAAATTAGAAGCCGAATAGGTGAAATAGGTTGAAATGGCATAAAGTCGTTTCGCGGTCGGAACCACTTGTAGTCAGATGTGAAAGGTCGGGGGAGGGGAGGGGAGGGGAGGGGAGGGGAGAGGGGAGTAAGAGGCCCACCAACAGCGCGATTTTGACGTCATTCTTATAAAAGGACACTGTTTTTCCTTTTAGATCTTATCAACTCAACCTTGTGGATATCAATTGGCAGAGGTAATGTACCGAATCCTCTGTGAATGAGTCTTACTGTTAATGAGGTTGAGAACAAGCAGACGTCGGTAAATGCACACTTACACACAAAACCCAAAGCGTTATTTCAGGAAGGCCTTGAGTTAATAGGAGGAGTTATTTCCTTTAGAAATAATGAGCCTAGTTTAATCAATTAAATTAAGCCAAAATTGTCAAAAATTTTAAAGAAGGGCGAAATCTATCTATATACAATATACTTGCCAGACCCAAAAGCCTCAGCTACAATTTTCCACCAAAATATGGTTTACCAGGTGAATACGTATTCGGACTGTAATAGCAATGCCTTAGTTCTTAAACCAAAACTTACTCAAATTAACAAAATTTTACTGCAGCAATTAGGCCTTCTTCCATTCGGGCAGCAAT